ATCGGTCAGATCGGCCAAACATTTCAAATCACATGATTGGTTGTAGTTGATCGGCGCAGCATAGATCACGCCTTCAATACCACTTCTGATTTTCAGGACAGATTATATTATTAAAAAAATTAAGAAAAACTTATTATTTTTTAATAATAAATGCTGTATCTGACTTTTAAAATAGATTGTTTTATTAAAAAATAAGATTCTTATTTTTTTAATAATAAATACTACTTTTGACTTTTAAAATAGATTATATTATTAAAAAAATTAAGGAAAAAAAACTAATATTTTTAATAATAAATGCTACTTTTGACTTTTAGAATGGATTATATTATTAAAAATATAAGTAAAACTTATTTTTTTTAATAATAAATACCACATATAACTTTTAAGACAAATTTCACTATTAAAAAAATAAGATTTTTTATTTTTTTTAATAATAAAAATCACTTCCAACTTTTGGGTCAGATAAAAAAATATTTTTTTAATAATAAGTGCTGTATCTAATTTTCAGGATGGATTACACTATTAAAAAAATAAGTCTTTCTTATTTTAATAATAAATGCTATTTCTGACTTTTATGGTAGATTATATTATTATAAAAATAAGAAAAACTTATTTTTTTTAATAATAAATATAGCCTTTAACTTCAAATATGATAAATGCATTTAGCAATTTTGAAAATATTACAAGATTTCTATATGTAGGTCATACACTTCAATTTTCTGTTAATTGTGATTAAAAAATATTAACCCATATGAATTATATGTAAAATGATTTAAACAACTTGTAAAATTTTTTACAACATCACCAAAATAATCAGAACATCTAGATGAAGTACAAATAGATATTTTTGACAAAAATTTATTAAAAAGTTTGAATTAATAAAATTATCTGAATTTAATATAGATATAAATTTTAATTCTGATGAAGAATTTTATATTGATAAATAGAAGAAAATGAACAAGTTAATAAAGATAATCATTTAAACTTTGAAGAGTAAAATGTCAAAATTCTTAGAAATATATCAGATTCACGTATACGATAGAATTTAAGTTATTTATCTTGAAAACACCTTTAGATCTTTGTGAATCAGTTAAATATTTAGCCGTAACTTTAACATATAAAAAAGGAAATGATTGTAAAAAAGATATACATAGATTAACCAAAAGACTACTTAAAAAATATGAATAGGATCTTTTAGCTGAAGTGATAAATCTTTTAGAACCATTTGAATAAGCTACTAAATTTGTTTTTGGTACATAATATTCAACCTTTCCTTTAGTATATCCTATAATAAAAAAATTAAAATTTATTTTCGCTTCAAATCATTTAAATAATAATGATAATGAAAATGAAATTGATTATTAATTTAATTTAAATTTATTAATATTAAAAATCCAATTAATTAACAAAACTCAAATTATTTTTTAAAAGAGGAAATATCATCTGATGAAAATAATAATGATGATGATGAAATACTATTATCCTTACCCTCATTTAATATAGGTTCTAGAATTAATCAACAAAATTTGGAACCTAATATATAATTTATTCTTGAAAAAATGAAAAAATAATTTATGAAGCTCTTTACAAATATTATGAAAAATCTGGTAAAACTAGATTAAAAGCAACTTTATTAGATCCAAGATTAAAAGGAATGTATTTTGAATATTTGGATAAATATTGTCAAAATGCTATAGATGTTTTACGTCAAAAATATGAAGAGTTAAAAAATATATTTGATTCAGAATCACATGATAAAGATCATATGATTTTAGTTAATACACAAAAACAAAAGTATAAACCAAAAACTATAATAGATAATCCATTATTTTTTGATGTATTTTCATAACTTCTGACTTTTACAGAACAAGTTGATGAATTAAGCATTTATTTGGATAAACATCAAATATCACAAGCTCATCCTGATATTAATCCTTGGGAATGGTGAAATGAAAGAAAGAAAAGATTTAAAGTATTATCAGTTTTAGCATGAAAATATTTATCAATACCTGCATCATCTATTGCAAGTGAAAGATTATTTAGTAATACAGGTAATCAAATCTCTTACAAGCATACATGTCTAGGATCAAATTTAGTTAGTAAGATGTTATTTGTTAAATGTAATGATGAATATGTAAATATGTATAAAAGCAAATAATACAAATGTATTGAGAATTCGTAGAGCAATATAAGATAATATGATAAGTAAGTTTTTGAAATTCATTAAAGTGATCAATAAAAAGGAACAATAATAAGGTAGAATTGATTTACATTCTTTTTGAATAAAAAAAATTAAAATGAAAAAATGAATTAAAATTTTTAAAAATTGATTTAGCAAGATCAAGGATTTCGTAAATTTTAACTTTATTGTATATTAAAACAAATTATTTTTTTATTTTTTATTTTATATCGATTATATTTATTGATTTTTGTGATGAGAAATTCTTCATTTTTGGAATTTCTGTATAAGTTAAATTATTTTATGTTGTAACAGTATAAAATTTTGGCTAAAATCTGATTACAAATCCAATGTCAATTAAATATCCTTGTTTATAATCTCATCAATTCTGATGTTAACTTTATATCCTGAGATAATTAATGTGAAATATTGTAGATCCAGATGTCAATTTTATTTCCAGTGTAACAGGCAACTTTATTAACATGATCATCTTTGCTGATCAATTTTGTTAACTTTATTTTCTTGATGATGTCATTTATTTTTCATAGATTTATTTAGTTTAGTCCATTTTATAACTATCAAACATGTATAAATATCATTGTATTTTATTAAGTCTCGATACCTTACGAGGTAGAGAACTTACAATTTATTATAATATTAATAAAATGTATAATTAATCAAGTTAAAACTTATCCTTGCAATCCTTTAACCTGTGTATACATTATTATTGTTTATTAACTTTGCGTGGTATTGTATTGATTTGTTGTATTGACTTAAGGTGTAGTCACTGAAACATAATCTCTGAAATATCCGGAAGTTACTCGTATGTAATTGAGAATAATCTTTAATGTTTACTACAAATCTTCATTATGATTCCTTGAGTTTAGTCTTAGTATTATTAATTTTTGTGAATTTTTATTTGAGTTACAAATTGGACGTAATAACGTTAAATTGACTTTTTTTTAATCAAAATAACCAGAATTTTTAATTCTACTAATAATATAAATATCTATTATTCTCATCCTTCCTTCTTCTTCTCTTGTTTTGGTTATTATATCGATAAAAAAAATACGACTTCAAAAATCATCTCATTTCTTATTTAATAAAAAAAATAAAAAAAGTACTCAGTTTTCACTCTCATTTTTCTAACTCAAAAATATGAAAAAAAGTTGTAATAAACTCATGATAGAAATACCAGAATTTGAGATTCTATTTTCACAGTAGATTATGGCAAAAGAAATTATAGCATGAAGAAACTCATATAAATTAGGATTAAGATACCTAATGTATTCTTCTATATAGAATAAATTATATTAAAGCACTAAAAAAAATTTTACCAAATTTTGATAAGACCTTTGGCATACTATTATTGAATAAATTGATATTTATTTAAATAAAACATTTTAGCTGCAGTTAATTGGCTAATTAGTTAACTGGTTAACTGAATTTTTAACCAGTTAAAATAAGTTGTAATTAACTGGTTAACCAATTTTTAACCAGTTAACTGAACTTGGTTAACCAGTTAAAATTTATAATGATAGTTCTAATTATTACTATAATACTATTTTCTGATATATTTAGTTGATAATATCATAATTCATCTTTAATATTTGTAATATAATATCTATGAATCTTTGATAAAGATTTAATTGTAGTAATTGACATTCTTATTCTTCTTTTTTTATACATCTATCCAATTGTTAACCAAATTATTTTACAATTTGTAGCATTAGAAATAATTGAAAAAATTTTAATTGCAAGAGTTTGAAAATAATTATAATGAGAAAAACATGTATTCTACTATTTTAATAGTATTTATTATCTTTGATTTAAGATGCATTATATAGAGATTCCTTTAATTTGTAATCTTTTAGTTAGAAGACTAATTTAAAACATGATTTTTTATTATTTTTAAATTCTTTCCAAATATTTCCAGCTAATATAGCGATTTCATTTAATTGTTATTAAAATAAATATAAAATCATATATCTAGCATTCATGGTTGATAAGTTATAAACTTTTAAAGATAAATAATTCTATTTGCATTTGATTTTTTTACAACTTTTTTTTGTAATAATAAATTATATCATATGTTAGTTAATAAATTTAAATAGATTATCATTATTAAGATTTATTAATTAATGATCTATTTATACATACTGTGCTATTTAGATCTAATGAATTATTAATGAATCTGATTTATTAGATTATTTTCTATTGAAGTTTAATAGATCTGATTTATTTCTAATTCTGATATTATTTAAGTAGAAATGAGACATAGTGAATTATATAATTATAGGTATAATATAAAAAACATGACTAAATATTCATCATCAAAAAACTGTAGTAAGTGATCTTATAATTAAAATGTAATCATAAATTGTAATGTTGATTAATAAAATTAGCATTATATGATATAATATACTGCATTTAAAGTTAGAAAATAATATAATAATTATGAAAAGATATTATATCATAGTTGATAAACTATATTTTTTAATATGATAAAACTGATGAAACTAAAATAATAAAACTAATTTCTTATAAATGACAAAACTATTATACTTAATTTCTAAAATTATATTTAACTTTATTTGAATTTATTGAATTAAAATACATTAAAGAATATAATAATTTTATATTTATTCATATAAAAATATTAAAGAGACAAATCCTTTTGACGAAACTATAACTTTTCAGAAAAAAGTTTAGACAGTTATCATTAATCATAATTAAAGACTTAATAATTTTTGCATAGTCATGATTAGTAACTATATAATGAAAATATATAGGTAGTATTCTATTAAAATTGAGGTATAGATCATATGGGAGCTTTGCAATAGAAAGGGAGGAAACTCTAAAAAAATTAAAATTTTACTTTCTAAGCTAATTATAATTTTTTTTGTAAAATAAGTTTAGATTTAACATTAACTCAAAAAAAATTTTTTTAGAGTTTTCTCCCTTTCTATTGCAAAGCTTCCATATGATTTACTATATCTCGTAACCCACTTTTAATAGATCAGCTTCCATATAGTAATAACTATACAATAATTAGATAACTAAAAGTAATTTTTATGTAATAATTATTTAATATATTTGTAATTTTAAATTAATCTAAAAAATATAAATAGATAGATAGGATTATTTGACAAGAGAGTTTGATAATAGTCAATAGTTTTGAGTAGAAAGTTTTGGAAGAAAATAATATGAAGTATTAGTAATAATAATTATGTAATTAATATAATGTTATAATCTTTTATTAAAATGCTTTTTTTATATTTCATAAAATTATCCTTTTATTTATTTTCTTATAATATTTGTATAATTAACTTGTATGTAATAATTTTGATAGTTTATTAAATCTTTATACTTAAATGAATTGCTATATAATCTAACTTAAAAGATCATGATTAATTTAATATCTTTGATAATGGGTAGTAATAATAATTAAGAATTATTTTAAAGTTTATAATATAATAAATTTAATTTTATACCTGAAAATAAACTTCATATTTTTCAAGTAATAATAAGTTTAGAATGCTAATTTTGAGTTTAATATAAGAAAACTGTTAAATAATATCATTATATAATTTAGGTAAAATTATAATTCTAGTAAATTATTTTAATTCTTAAGTTTATCTATTGTTATATTTCTTTATAATAGTCTATTCCAAATGTTATGATTATAGAGAAAGTTAATTGTATTTCTTATTATAATATTGGTAAAATATATATACTGAAAAATATAAATGATCAAAGATAAGTTTTATCATTAGAAATAATAGTATTGTCAAACTTTGATATAGCGAATCCTTGATATAGCAAATTTTAAATCAAATATATTAAATATAAATTACTATAGTAAACCAGCCAATTAAATTCTTTAAAAAATTTATTATAAGGCTATAATAAAGTTGAGATCTAAACTAAAGATAGTGTAGCAATTAATTTCAAATTTACAACTTGTTGTAATATATTAATTACAGTTCTCATCTTTAATCTAGACCCTAAAGTTTATTATATCAAGAGTTCACTATAAATATAAAATTATTTCTATTAATATAGAATATAACTATTCTTTTAAAATAGATAAGTATTATAATCAAGAATTAATATTATTTTATAATAACTATTTAATAGAAGTAATTATTAAAAATATTGGATATTTTAATCTAATGTAGAAGCAAGTTTTAAAAAATAATATAATACAGATAAAGGGAATAATAATAATAATAAAAATACATTATATATTTTTTTAGATATTTAATTCAATCTTTTATAATAAACTAATTAACTAACTTCTTGAATATATTGGCTAGAAAATAAAATTTGTAATTTGAATATATTAAAATTTATTTTATAAATATATGATTAAATTTATACTTTAACTATTGTTATTAATCAATATTATTTAGATCATTTGCTTTTTAATTAATATGACATCAATCATATCAATTACATTAGTAATTAAATTTGTTAATCAAATAGCTGGATTTAACCAATAATATTTCTGAATATTTTGACCAATCATTAAAAAGGCTACATCATCTCAATGTTTGACCATGGTGCACATGGCATATTATGGACCGGTCCCAGGACCATTCCAACCCACACAATTGCAATATCTTATATTAAGAAAATTTATATTGATCTTTTATTGATAATTTAAAAAAAAATAAAGGTGAATACAAAAATAAAATAAATAAATGAAAAATTTTAAAATGTAAGATTTAATTAAAGAATTTTAAACATTATTCGGGGATGAGACTCTCGTACATGGATCCCCATGAAGGATCGGTATTATCAATCATTTTGTTTTTTAAACATAAATTTTGTCTTAATTTCCACCATACAGCACGCATTTTCATAATATTTTCATCATTAGGCTTAGAACGTTGAAATAAATGCCATTCAGGATGAAATTTTTTCAAAAATTCATCCAATGAATATACTTCTGGTCCAAGATAAGCGTAATTCCATACATTTTCATGAACCGCACTTTCAGTACATGAATATAAAATCGGATGGCGGTAATGTTCTGAACAAACTCCAGAGAAAGCTGGGAATAAATGATTTGTGACATAATGTTTTTCATGTCCATCGTTGGGTAATTCACATTTTGAAGAACAAAATGGACATCTTTCTTTGCACCCAATCTTATCCACAAGAATTTCACTTAGTCCTTTCACTGTAATTTCCAATATTTTTTGTACTTTTTCTCTCTCTTGAACATTCCACTCTCTATAAAGTTTTTGAAATTCTTCTTTCAATTCTTTGGAAAGTGTATTAAAAGAATAAACTGGACATTGCACAATGCAACTATTTAAAAGGTGAGTAACATCTTTTAGAATCTTAGAAAAATCATGGGAACTTTTCTTCTTCTTCAACACGATCCCGTATTTAGTAGACAATATATGTGTTAATTCTTCATAATCATGAGAGTTCCCTGATAAATAAGTAAGAAGGTAACTTAGTTTAAATTCATTATAATTTTTCTTCTCATCAAACAACTCTATCCATTCTTTCAAATCATTTAAGAGAGTATCTTGAGTATATTTAATCATTTCATCGACTTCTTGCAATTTATCATAAATAATCATATCAGAAAATCCCATAAATTCATTTTTCATTAAATTAAACATGTATTGAGTTGGATCGTTCAAATATTGGTTCACAGCTGCCAAATCTAACTTTCCAAAACTCATGTCAAAAGCATTTGTTGTTGCAGTACGGGTATCATTCCAACTTTTTTTAATATATTCTTTACATCTTTGGGTGATATCATTTTCTATCTTATCAACTTTTGGCCTAATCGCTTGTATAATATATTTGGTAAATTCTTTTGAAATATTTTCACCGGATTGATAAGATAAAATTTTTTCAAATGAAATGATCAGGTTTTGTCTCAAACCTTCAAGAGTCTTTTGTTGTTTATCATTCCACATATCAATATTATTTGATAAGCTTTGGAAAATTTCTATCCTTAAATATTTCTATTGTTAGAAAAAAAAAATTTCAATTATTCAATTTTTGTTAAATTAAAATGGAGAAACTCGCTGATAACTTTTAAATTTAAATTACCTCAAAGATATTAAAATCATCATCTTTAAATGTGATGAAAGATCCATTATGATCATCGTTGGTAATATCGAAGAAAAAATTGCATAAAGTCTCTAAACATTTTACTGCTTGCGTTGAATCAATTCGCAAAGAATTATTATCTTCTAATTCGGTTTTAACCTTTTTGATGACATTATAAAATTTACTTAGTATACTCCTAGCGATTTCAATTTTTGTGGATTCTGTGGTCTTGTATTCTATCATTTTATTACTTGTAAAGCCGCCAATCAAATTACGTTTAAATTTATTAAATTTATTTTTAAGGTTGTTGTTATTCTTCGTATTAGAATCCTCTGCAATATTTTCAATTTCAAAAACTTTCATTATGGCAAATGTATCCATTTGAATCTTTTCTTCAAATGTCGCGGGTTTTTTGAGAATTTTAAAGAAATTTCTTTTAAATTTTACTTGTTCTTTGTCTTCGGAAGTTTGACAGACTTTTGTATAACATTCCTCAATGGCATTATTGAAAGTTTTTGAAATGAAGGGTTTAAGATCTTCTAAAGTCAAAATCATTTCTTTATCAAATAACATTTTATCGCGTTCAACTTCTACCCAAATTTCTTCGAAAATTTCATCATATTTTATATCTTTTAAATTATTTAAATGATTATTTCCTATGAGTTTTTCAATTTTATTCCCAACTTTTTTGATCGCACAATCTGATAACCAAGAGTCCTTATATTCGCAAGCAGATATTAACCATAACGTGTCACATTCCATCCTTTCTTCTGCAATCATATTATAAATGAGCCTTTTACCTTCGTTAAATATGTGAAGGTCAAATTGATTTTGCAATTTGGAATCATATTTTTTCATACATATGTTGTTGTACTCATCTTGAAGTTCATCTAAATCTTTTCGTACTTTGGTTTCAACTTCAATCCATTTTGAATGATCCACCTCTAACCTTTCGATATTTTCTCTGATTTTGCCTTTTGCCTGATTTCTAAATCCTTTTAAATCGATGCCTTTAATTTCATTAACCAAGTAACGCATTTGATGCCATGCATTTATTGATCTAAAGTCTTCAAAGTGCAAAAAATTCCCATGTATACCAATATTATCCCAAACTGTTTTCATATACGGAATAAATCCTTGTATATTGTTGAATTGATTAAAATAAGTATTTGGAGATGTAGCAGAATTTAGAAGAGAATGTCGTAAAATAGAAGTTTTATTTGAAAACGTTTCCTACAAATAATCAACATAAAATTTTAATTTAATAAATTTTTTTTTGAGAGGAGGAAAAGAGGATTAATAAACTACTTACGGCTGGTACATTTATATTATATCTTTCATTAATCCTACCGGTTGTTGGACAAAAATCATCGGAATAGGAATGAAATGCACTTGTTAATAGATGAATATCATCTTCTTGTATAGTCATAAAATCCTCCAAGGATTCCGCACATCCAGGAATTTGTTGAAACATTTTCTTTAGGCTATTAACAATATCTTGAAATGGCTGAAAATCTTTAGCGTTATTATTCATGTCCCGAAGTACAAAGTGAAGTCGTGGTTTGGATTTTCTATTTCTTAACCCATCCAAATGCCACGAAGACACTTCTAAAATATCACCAATGTCCCTAGTCAATCCTTTGGTATTGATTATAATGATATGAGAACACATCAAAGCAAATAATGTAAACTTTTTATCGAAATCATTTCGAGTTGTAATGTACTTTTGCGCAGTTGAATTCATTCCCTCGGAATCTAGGATTAAAAGATCAATTGGATTATCATCAAAAGTTGTATTTCGATAACTTAAATACAATCCCTTTGTGCTAAATACAAAAAAAAAAAAAAAATTATTATTATTTAATATTAAAATTTCTTTAAAATTACGAATGCCAAAAGATTTATAATTACCATCGTGTTGCCGATGTGGCAAAACTACATTGAAATAAATAATTTAAAAGAGTCGATTTTCCAGAACTTTCAAATCCAATGATTGAAATTATAATTAGCTTTCGATTGGTATTGGACATGATGTTGCATAACGTATATGATAAGAAATTTGTAGGAAGTGGTTTTAAAGATATTCCATCAAGTATCTGTATGGGTTCTCCCTCGATGATCCACGTTGTAAATGCCGTGAATAAATTTTGCGGTGGAACATCATATCTGTACAAAAATTTCATATATTAGAAACGATAACAAATCATAACATTAATTTAAAGATATTACTCACAATTTTTCCAATACAGTCGTCTTCTTATACTTTTCTTCTTTTATATTTGATAATATAATAAATTCTTTCCAAATATCATGAATGGATATATCATTTTCTTCAATCATTTGTTTATTGTGCGCATACTCATTATTTTCATTTGATTTTTGTAGTTCGGCCAAATGATCCTTGAAGAATTTATCGATTAAACCAGCAAATTTGCGCATTTCAATTATCTTATTTTCATTAATAATCTTTGCGAATTCCAAAAGTATTGGTATCGGTTTGTTAAAGTAAAGATTGACTTGATCATTTCTAAATTGATGGATTTTCTTATTAATTTGTTCTTCTGAAATATAATCCGAATGATCTTGTGGACGAGATTTATTCTTCTTTTCTTTTAATGTTTCTATTTTATTTTCCAAATCTGTTGCCGGAAATAAATCTGCACGTGTGGAAAATTTTTTTTGTTTCATGGAATATGTGAATGATTCTTCTAAACTTTCAGGTAACCAAATATTTAAACATTTGTTTTCTAAAGTTTCTAATTTAAGAATTAGTTGCGGATAAATAAACCCTGCATCGGGTTGTGATAGTTGTTTCGTTATATCAAACTTTTTATCTTCAAGAAATTGATTCAGGTCATTAGAAATTTGTTCAATTTTAACTCTTTCAGGCTTGAAATGAGACTTGAATAATTTTTTAATATTCTTCTTGCGCTTGCTGAAAGGGTCATTCTTTGTTGGTCTGTTCCAATTTATGACCGATATTTTAGAATTATTGGAATCCAACGAGATGGTTTCGATGAGTAGCTTTAATTCATTAGAAGGCGAGTTATCTTCAAAATCTCGATCATTTACGTGTACAAACATGTAAAATGCGAATTTTGAGAAGCCATTCATTAAACTGAGAAATATTTGGTTAGGATCCTCTTCTAAATATACTTCGGCTATAGCAACAGGCTTTCGTCCATAATTTTCCGACGCGGGATGAAAAGAAACGTCCATTGATCCAGCCGAAGTAATACTTAAATCATCCTCACGGTTTTTGCAGATGATAGGATAAAGTCTTTTCGAAAATGGCGTGGATGATTCGCTTGTACTTAAATTGAAGGATAATAATAGATGATATTTATCCCGAAGTATTAAACTACGAATTTCTCTTAAAACCTTTAAACCTTTTTGACTAAATTCACAATTATTCGTAAATAGTAATGGAATGGGAATGTTTGCTCGAGTAAGCGAAAGGAGAATCTTTGTAAGTGAACTTTTAGGAACATTATCCAAGAAAGCTACAAGATAATCCCTTCCTTTACAATTAGTCAATCGTTTTAATATTTGGGAAGGATCATCAATATTGTCAGAAGCAGAAATTTGTCGAATGCAACCTTGTATACGTTGTAACGATATGGTCCTATTTATTATATCAACGATATATGGAAAAATATTTCGAAGGATTCCTTGCGTATGATCTTTTAGATAAGTTCCAACTTCGGTTTTAAATACGTCTTCACTTAATTCATCGGTTACAAAATTCGTAACGTCATAATTTATCGGCTCATCACCAAAGGTTATTTGGAAAAACTCTTCAAGAGATAAATCTTGTTGGGTTTCTTCTTCGGATGAATCATCAGAATCCTCGGAACTTGTATCCGATGTATCGACGTTCTCATTAGAATCAATATCTCGCAAGATTAAAGATGAATTCAACTCTATCCAATCGTCTATAGATATAAATTTTCAAAAAAATTTGTATATTAAGAAGACGAATAAATAAAATTTTTTCTTTTAAAAAATATATATATATATGTATATATATATTGATGATTGATTGATTACCTTTATAAAATTCATTGTCTAAGATGTGAGAGGACAAATGTGATTCAAAAATTGTAAAATAATTCATGGCATATTGAATTCTTTCAAGCGTTTTCAAGAATAATACTGGCGTAGAACTTTGGACGTTCTTGGTATATTCTTCCCTTAATTCATTGAGAACCTTTACAACATTATCATCAGGGGTTTGATCGATCTCAAACAATTGTGGGTATTTATCTAGAATGATTATAAAATTGAAGGAATCGATAGATGACGTGATTTTTTCTTGACCACTTGAACACTTTTTGTTGTACTTATCAATGATACCGTATATAACTAATTTAAAGGATAAAAAGAATAAATTTTAATGCCTGTAAGAAAAATTTTATCATAAATCGTATTAATAATATATTTGAAGAAATACCTTTGAAAATAATATTCTCCATATTTGTCAAAAGAAGTTGTTGAACGAGATCTTGTCGAACGTAAACCATTGCATTGGAAAACCTATCGAGATTTTCACGAGTGATTTCAAATAAAGTTTGTCCGTAGGTAAGTTGCTCGGCTAACGTAATTGCTGTTGATATTGCGATATCGAGTTTCCTGGAAATGATAATGTATAGGAAGGTATTAAAGGCATTGAAAATAATAGAAGATGCAAATTCAATAAAAAAAAAAATGTATACCTTGTACTTTGCCAAAATGCGCAGTTAAATGCTGCATCACCAATCACGCATACAAAACCTTCTTTGTAGTTTTTATAAAATTCTTTGGTTACCAACAAGTCATCATCAGAGTTCTTTGAGATTGAAACCAAGTCATAGTTATGAACTTCAAAGAATTCAAATCCATCTCTTATGACATTCATGAACCAAGGGTTATTCTTTATCGAATCCAAACTCGGATCAAATTCAATACTCTCGTATTCGGATTTCGATAAATTTACTTTAAGTAAACTTTGATTATCCTGTTGGAATTGCAACCAGTATCTAGTTTGAAGTAATGATAGGGCTTCCGTTTCGCCGTTTTGCAATTGATTTTCGGAAACGTGAAACTTAATTTCTAATTGATAACATTTGGAAATGGCTTCTTTTTCAAACTGATAACTGTCATAATCATCTGCGAGAACTAACAAGTCATATCGATCGGTACGTGAAGGATCAAATCTGAGATTCAATAAATGACGAAAACAAGTAAAATTAGAAATTAATAAATAAAATTGGATTTTTAAAAAAAAAGGAAAATTGCTGCGGCGGACAAAAATTTCCTAAAAAAACCCCCATATTCATTTTATAAATTGTTATACCTTTCGTGAACCAATTGTACATTTTCATTAAGTTTTGCAAACAATTCCAGCAGTTTGTCTTCAAACTCGTTCATAAAGTACGCATTTTCTTGGCCTGAAAAAATGCCTTCAAAGACCGATGTATGATATATGTGTTTACGGACACTTTGCGGAAGGCGCGAAAATTCCTCTTCATTTACCAAAAAAAGCCGATTTTTAGTATTATGAGTTTTATAATGTTCATGATAAATTAAAATTTTTCCTAAAAGATTTTTCTTAACAAGAATTTCATATAAAGAGAGAGCGAAGATGAGACCAGAAGGTCCTCTGCTGCAAATAACGATAAGTGGATTTTGAAGCATTAACTTATAATACTTTATAGAAAATATCTATTTAGAAAATTTTTTATTATTTAGAAAAGAATTGTAGAACGTTCATTTAGGGAATCAAAAATTCTGTCTAGGTCCTATTTTATAACTACATTTAAACTTATACCCCAATTTAGTCTATAAATGACTTTTCTAATAGAGCAAAAACAGGTTTTTCCTGGTCAAAAAATTTTTCCGTTAAATTAGAAAGTATCACCCGAAAATCTTTGTCGGATTAGAGCTTTAAAATTTCTCAAAAACAAGGAATTTTTCGATAGTCCAGAATTTTGGCTAATTTCATTAAAAAAATTTTTTTTTTAGAGGTCTCAATGTTTTGTTTGATTGTTTACCAAAATGTCAAATTCGACGTGATGATTTGTCAATCATTTCTAAAAATGTATAAATTTGACGTCATGTACGATTTACGAAAGTTTGCGCCATTAGCATTAAGTGCATTAAGTTTACTGCGGCTTAATCTGATTCGGCGATTGAGTTGTACAAATAAAAAGTTTTTTTTGGTAGAATTACTAACGACTAATTATACAAGATTTACGTAAATTCATAATAATTTCGTCATTGCATAAAATTAAATATAAAGAGCTCGAATAATTTGCATATACCTTGATTTTTAAATTTCTGATACCATGATTGAGAGTAAAGACAAAATAAATCCGGTAAATATGAGAATTTTATCAGTCGAAATTATTTAATTTAATTGAAAATTCCTAAAAGAAGGAAAAAAAAAATTTTTTTTTTCTACCGCAGACTCCATTATCGCCATTACAAGTGCATTATTTAAAAAAGGAACTTATTTCTCGGCAAATAAAAACCGAAATCCAATCACTCTCACAATATGGTGCTTTAAAAAATTTAGGCCCACCATTTGCCGATAAAGATTGCGTGGAAAGCGATACCCCATTTTTACGCTTCATATTTATTCGTTTCGTACTCACATTTCCGTTTCTTCAAAAAGCCGATAATACTTTTTGGTCTAAATTATCAGAATTCTTGGATGAATTTGCTAAAAAGAATATTAGTTCTTCTTCTACAAGAGATGAAAGAACTAAAAGAAAGAAATTGGGTGAAAACATCGTCAATGAACTTACATTATTACTTAACGCTGGAATAAAAACAACTGCTGGAAAAGACGAGTCAATTAAAGTTGATTTTACTGGTGCTTATGAAAATCGTAATCAAAAATTATTAGATGATTTGTCATGTACCATTAATGGATGGAATATTAATGTTGTGTCCGTGAGGACTATATGGGAGAAACATCGGATTCGTGAACATGCTCATTCGGAATATATCATTCAAGCAAAGCGTCAAAATTTCAATGAAATTATTTTCGTTGCGAGACGTTACAAAGATTTTACAAGTTTATATAATAAAGTAAGTTTATGTAAATTTAACAAATACCAAACCAAAAAAAAAAAATATTTAAATCGTATTTTTTTCTCTCTTTTTTTCCTTTTCTTTCCTTTTTTTTTTTTTTTTTTAAAAAAAAAAAAAAAAAGCTTAAAAGTGAATTCGCGTCAATTGATATTCCTCATATGCCAACTAAAGTTAAAGATCAAAAATCTTCGACTTTTAATAAATCTCATACAGCATCGGATGAACTTTCTTCTAACGGTTTATACCAGCATGAGAAGAATCGTCAAAATTTACGCGCATATCTACGTTCCCTCCTTTCCATTAGAGAAATTGCCAGATCAAGAACAATGTGGGTCTTCTTAACAGATTCATCCCTTACTTTGAACGAGGATGAAAAAAGAGATATAGAGAAAAGACGAGAATTGGATTCAATTAGAGATGAACAACAAAAAAGATTTAATGAAGAGGCAGAAAAACGTGCCAAAGAACTCGAACAACATGTTTCGGAATTCAAGCAAGAGGTCATGAATTCAGGTAATTATTTGATTCACAATTTATTTGAATCTCATGAAAATAGTCTTATCCATTCCCGAAATTTCAACAGGTGGATTATCTAAGGTAATTTATACTATCCAAGAGACTCCAAACGCTTCCAACTTACCAAAAACATATCAAAAAATTATCGAATGGGGCGAAATAGGGTTAGCATGAGTCAATTTTATTTTATCCTTTTTTTCGACTTAATGCACGTATGGTGTTTAAAAAATATATGTATATTTATATCTTTTATTTAGATTTGCTTCTACATTATACTCTCTTTTCATCGGATCTGATAGTAGTAGTGAGACCCTGGCACAGCTTAAACGTACACATAGTTTAATGCCATATAAAACTATTCGGGCCATAATGAAAATATCAAATCCTTTAGTGATAATGAGGGGAATATTAGACTTATTTCTTGCACAACCTTTCGGACAAAAAAGCTTGGTCCAAAGGTTTGGAATTATATTCATATAATAAACATGCTTTTGGTAATTCTCTCGCTTATTAACTTTTACTTTATAGGATCCTTTCAATGAGTATGACCGAAGATCTTAAAGAAATTGGCAAAGATATTAAAATTATCGAAGAGGAAATAAATGATGATGGAGTATGTGAAAAATTACGGAATTTTGTATATTCTCCTAGTGAACTTCAGACTGCCATAATGAAAGAAGCGAAAGATGAACGTATGTTGGAAAATATTGTGAGATTAAACTTTTAAATAATTCTAATAAATATATATGATTTTATATGGTTTTTTTTAGACATCAATGCTATCATCATCGCAATATTACATACGAAGCTTTTAACACCAGATTTAAAGAACGTACAAGTAGCGAGATTTGTTGGAAGCATTAACAGTATTAGGATTGATAATACAGAATTATTAAGCAATTTAAAGAAATTATTCTTTTTCTATGTTCGTCAAAGAGACAAAAAAATGATGATTGATTTACTGTTTCAGGTAATTAATTATTGCATAGTATTATATTACCACTTCTTTTTTCGGAATTAATTTTACACTTTATTTTATAAATTAGGGCATTACTGGTGATCTCTTGAAAGACATCATCATCGTCTTCTATGAGCCATTGGCAAAAGTATATAAAGTGAGTTTCATGATAAATCAGCTGTTATTTTTTTTAAAATTACTAATTCGGTTTGGATTTAAAGGCCGCAAATATATCCGATACTTTATCTGACCTTTCGGAATTTTTGGATGATTTAATTAATGTTGTCGAAGAAGCTGATCTAAGAGGTACCCTTTTTTTTAAAAAAAATAATTTTACCTTTCAAACTTTTAAAATATTCTGTCTCTCCGTATCCTTTCTTTTAGGTGTTATGTATAGTCCGGCTGAATCGGTTGTCCAAATATTTGTGTCGCTGGTGCATCGACATATTCCAAGGTTTTATTCTTTCGTTCATTCAGTGTATTCACACGACTCAACGGGCTTATTCAATTCATTCCTTAAATGGATTGAATCTGTTTTTAATTTTATACGTGATGGATTAACCGAACAAATAGATGTACAACAATTAATTGACACGGTGTTGACAACTGAAGAGCGAGACCTTCTTTCAACAGAATTAGATAATTTAATGAGTTGGCATACTTGGCGAAAGAAGAGACATTTAATGCGTCTCAAAAATATTATGTATAATGATATTAATAAGGATAGCATTGACTATGAAGGAAATGACGATATTGACAACGACGATGATTATGATGATGATTATGATGATTATGATGATGATTATTTGGTGGGAATCGAATTGGACAATGAAGGGTTGAAAATTGAAATGGACAAACACGAAGATGATGACGACGACTCGCAAGGTTCTGATTCAAGTTCAAATTCAATGATGGATATTAACCATAAGAGGGAATTCCCTGAATTAAAAGTTATGCCAAAATTATTATCTCCATTCGTAAAGTTAATAAGCAGCTCTATGCTTAATATTAACGTGAAACAATGCTAGAAAGCTCTTCTTATTTAATTTATATAAAAATTGTTTCTTAGTTTCGAAAAATCAAATTGTTTTTTTAATAATCATTTATTAATCATAGTAGAAATTAGCTATTTCTCTCATAAGCATTGCATTACTTATAGCATTTTATTGTTATTTAATTTAATTGAATGTTATTTAATTAATAAATACTTACAAATATCTTATATATACTGTAATTTCTAATATTACTTTTTAATTCATTCATTTTTTCCGGAAAGTGTATTTAATTTCTAATGAAAGTAGGATCCATAAAGATGTTTTGTAACTATCATAAATCTAGTCTATTTTATTTATTTGTTGCAGAAATTAGGCTGCTATCGTTTAGGACTTGTATGACTCGAAAAGAACTCGCATCAAGAATTCGGCTCGAGTGAAATTCGAGTGCATATACTGTATTTCGTATATAATTTATTTAATATTAAAACATTCATTAATTAGAACTTCTCTGATCGCATTTTATAGAGTATGAATGAAGGTTTATACAAACTCTATGTCTAGAAAGTCAATATTTTGATATTATAATTTTTGGAATCTTTCATATCTTATTAAAATAAAATAACAGCGTTTCTTATTTAAACACAAAAGTTATTACTTTTGGTCGGTCATCAAAAGTGCCGTAATATACCGCAAAATCAAAGCCAGCTTTAAACCATTGCTTTTCTATCCAATATTTAATATGGAATAGCATAAATATATATGACTTTGCATTAGAAATGTTACTAAAAAAAAATTATATATGATTCTTTCTACCGCAAAGTGCACATATATTTTTGAATTATTACGAAATACGCGAAAATTGGACTTTCTAATCTGTTACACAACACAATCCGGAAAAACTAACATTTGATATTTGCCGATAACAACTTAATTTGGTTTTATTGAAATTTTAAATGAAGTTATAAATTTCACAAAAATATTAATTGATACGTTCATTTCTTAAATTCTTGATTGCTACAGTATTTTATTCATTTTTTCTGAATATTATATAACGTATCATAAGTTTTAATGTTTCAAAAACCAGTTATTGTTATTTGCAGCGAAGGACCTTCTGGTCTTATTTTCGCTCTTACTTTGTCTGAAATTATTGTTAACAATCAAATTTCGGGACAAATTCTTATTTATCACGAAGATTATAAAACTCGCAATTCTAAAAATCAGCTTTTTTTGGTCAATGAAGCTGAATTTTCGCGTCTTCCGCAAAGCGTTCGTGATTACTTATCTCATGCAGCGGTCTTCAAGGAATTTTTTTCAGGCCAACAAACTGCATATTTCATGGAAGAATTCGAAGACAAGCTTTTGGAAATGATTGCAAAACTCGATGAAAATGTACAACTGGTTCACGAAAGGTATATTTTTTTTCCAAGATATTTCAACCGCAGTATTTTGCTTGTCACATGATTTCGACAAAATGATTCACGACACGCCAAATTTTACAATTTCAGATTTGAACCTGCATGTGCCAGTCGATATGATTTGCTGGTTCTCGCAGATGGTAATATTAACTGCGACAATCACCAGTTCGAAAAAGAAGCAGTTTCCAAAAATTATGAACTAGAAATTAAGTTTGGTTTCAAAAATCTTTCGCAAAATAACGAAATGGAAGCCTTATCTTTAATCCAAACCAGATATTTGATACAATTTCAGCAAGATAATCAAAGTATTATTAAAGTAAATCTATCGAAATCTGAATACGATAGTATCGAACCAAATCCAAGTTTGGATTCGGTAAAGAATAATCCTTGGCTTATGAATATTATAAGAGATGGATTTAAATTCTTTGGAGTTGATAACGATAACTTGATTTCGGTTTCAAAAAGCTCTGATGACCTGTTAGTAACTAAAGAATTTTATAAAAATAACCAAAAATGTGATCAAAATGAAAGTTTCGTATGCGTTATTGGTGATGCGGCATTTAACTGCAAATCTTGGCAAAATCGAAGGTAATTATTTTTATTTATTCAGAATTGTGAATCATTCATCTTTAATACCTTTCAATATATCATGTTTTCTAGTAAATGCAATATTGCAATATTATCAGCAGTAACGTTAGCTGAGAAACTCATCGTCGAGCAAGTTTTATTTGAATTTACTCGTAAAAATCTCGATAGATTTTCCAATGCAATGTTAAACATTCAACAAGATTTCGTTCAACAACTTCGTCTGACAAATATGGAGGATACACTTTTCAGGGGTAAATGTATTTCTTATGTTAATACAATTAATATCTAAATAGCTCAAGAGTACTGATTTTTCTTTTGATTAGTAATCCACGGTATCATTGATAAGTACAACAAAAAATGTTCAAGTGAACAAGTAAAAGTTTTGTCATCTGTCGATTCCTTCAATTTTATAACAATTCTAGAAGAGTATCCTCAATTGTTTAATATCGATCAAACCCCTGATGATAAAAAGATTCTCAAAGAATTAAGAGAAGACTATACCAAGAACGTCCAGAATTCTACACCAGAATTACTGTTGAAAACGCTTGATAGAATTCAAAATACCATTAATCCCACCTATATATATTACGCGAGTTGGGGTCACTATAAAACAGGCGTCCCGCCGGCTCACGAAGTGAGGCGGTGTGTGACGTTACACAAATCTCCTTTTCGGGTGTTTTGTGTCACGCGAATTACCAAATATGGAATTTTGTGTCACCATTTTGGGTGATCCTTGCCATTTTGCGATAGCCGAGAATTTCCTTTTTTGGTCATATTGATCACGTATATAGACGTTAGTGTGACCCACGTTGGTGGCAAAATAAAATCCCGGAATTTCGGCTGCTTATAAAGCCGAAAATGTATGTTTTTAGCACGTTTTCTTAAATATCTTAGCATCCAGTGATCCGTTAGAGATGCAACACATATCATTGTGATGAGCTCATCTCGGCGAACACGATGGTGCAGTTTTCACGATTTTCTGATCGGTGGATATCGAGATAATAGCCTCCGAGACTTTACTGTTTTACAGAAAATAAAAATAAATTAAGGATAATCAAAATAATTCTATTTTTAGTTAATTTAAAAATAAAAACAATACAAAATAAATTCAATTCTTTGTGCATGCATATTATGCATGCACATATGCAAGCATATGTAAATATTAATTATTTTTTTTTTTTTGTAATATGTTACAAATTATGCGTTACAAATCAAAAATAAATAAAAAAAAACACAAAAAAATTATTAAAATTATTTAAATTTTATTTCTTTTTTAAACAAAACAATTTTACCAATTTTTTATATTAATTTCACAAAACAATTTAAATTTTAAACAAAAATGCCAAAATCAAAATACACATCATTAGAAGAAATTGATGCAGCATATCCAGAACCTGAAAATGAAACCAAAGAAGAAAGAAAAAAAAGGTTAGATAGTAAGAAACATACTAGAAAAAGATTTCTTGATCAACAAGCCAGAGAAGCATATGGTGAGGCTGGACCATCAAATAGAACAAGATCACAAACAGCTTTACCATCTTCTAGAACAAGATCCAAAACAACTGAAAATGCAAGATTAAGAAAACAAAAATCTAGAAGTGGCCAAATAGCTCAACAAAAAGCAACTACTAAAGAACGACAAAAAATCTATGAATATAATAAATATATTACAAAAAAAGAACAATTAAAAACACAATTTTTAAGAATAGGACATTGTAATATAGATAATTATACAGAAAATAGAGTTGAAAATAGTAGATACAAATTTGAAAGAATGGAACAAATATGTAAATACTGTTATGCTTTAAAATGGAAAGATGAAACTAAAGGATTTTGTTGTCTTAATGGACAGGTTGTTTTGGCATCTCTTTCTCCAGCCCCACAAAATTTATATAACTTGCTTACTCAAAATAATCCAGATTCAGATGAACCTTTTGTAACTTATATTAGAGCATACAATCAGGTTCTTGCATTCACATCTTTAGGTGTAAACCTTGACAAGGAACTTGCAAATGCTAAAAAAGGAGTTTACACATTTAGGATTCAAGGAGCATTATATCATCAGATTGGCGGTCTAATGCCAAGATATAATGATGAAAAACCTTTATTTGCTCAGATTTACTTTTTTGATTCAAATATGGATAATCAACTTCAAAGAAGACAAGAAATGATTCCAAATTTGAATGCCGACATGCTCAAAGCATTACAGGATGAATTAAACACAATCAATCCATTTGTCCATCAATTTGTAACTGCAGGTGCAAAGGCAAAAATAGAATCTGATAATTCTCATTGGAGAATGGTCATCCATAATACACACGGCAAGGATATGAGACAGTACAACAAGCCAACAGCATCAGAAGTTGCAGTTCTTCTCTGCGACTATGATATTCAACCAGATTATCGAGATATTGTTATACAAACTAAAGAAAGACAATTAAAACATATCTCTGAATTAAATGGTGCGTACGATCCATTACAATATCCTTTGCTATTTCCTTATGGTGAATATGGATGGCATGATAATATTTTAAGAGCAAATAAAATTGAATCTAAAGCTGAAGATGAGGATAGAATGCCAATTGATGAGGAAATTGTACAAGAAATTAGACATTCCGGAGTGTCTCAATTTTTTGAAAATCTAGATTTAGCAAGTTCAATTAAAGGCAAGGGGAAAGAAAAAGAAACAGAAATAGAAAAGGAACCTATTCGAGTATATACACCTGAACCTGACGATGAAGAAGCTGAACCAAGGATTATTGATGATGAAGATGAAGAAAAAAATAAAGATGAGGAATTGGAAAATCAACAAAGGATTAAAAAAAGAAAACGGGTTACAATTAGAGAATTTGCAGCATATAGAATGCAAATTAGGGATTCAAATAGGACAAAAAGTATTTTACACCTTTCAGGAAGATTATTTCAACAATATTTGGTGGATCAATATGCCAAAGATGAATCTAATCGTTTAAGATGGCATAGAGAAATGCAACAAAGTTTTAGAACTGAATTATATTCAGGCTTGCATGACATTGTAAATGATGAAGATTTTCATGTAGAT